TTTTTTCTTAGAAAGAATGGTAAACTTAACCCTCAGATGAAGGTGGGCAAGTGTCAACAGTCATGTGATATCATGAGTAGCTGTCCCATGGCCATTGGCCAAAAGGGTTCAGAGAGTTGATTAACACAGCAAAAAATAACCTGTCCCCAATGAGTTGCCCCTAAGTGCTCAGGGCAGAGGGGAGTTCCCATTGAGGAGTTCTTACTGGGGGATCCTCAGCGTTTTCTCAGATGGAGGATGGACCAGAAGAAGAGAAGGAAGATCCAGAGAAGAGTTCCCTAGCACCTCGATTCGACAGCAAGACATTGCCTCACCATCTTAACAAAACCAACACATTCCATGCTAACAGCCTGTTTGTCCTTTGGTATCAGTGAACCACCTTCAATTGTTACAGTTATGTACTTTCTTTGCCTAATTAACTAATGTATCGTAACTAAACTGCTGCTTATTAAACTCAATAAACTATCAGAAAATCACTATAAATCATCCCCTATCTATATTACCTAACTGTGATTGCAAACCCCCTGAAACTAACATGTGGCAAGGATGGAAGACATCAGTGAACCAGATGGGGCTCTACTACAATCAACAACGATTTCATGGTCATCATTAGACTTTTAATTCCAGATATTTGTAAAATTTCAATCCCAGGCTTCCAATACATTAGTTGGGTTTCTGGGTTACAATTCATCAACAACATCAGTCTGGTACTGCTTCCCCCTTCACTATCGTTTTGGGCTAGAATCACTAGTCACATGGAAAACTATAGGTTGATTCAGAAGAGTCAGCATGGATTTTTTGAGGGAAAAATCATGTCGAACTAACTTGCTGGAGTTCTTTGAAGAGGTAACAGAGAGAAATGATAAGGACAGAGTTGTTGGTGTGTTGGTACATGGACTTCAAGTAGTATTTGATACAGACTACACACAGACATGTGAAGAAATTTATAGTTCAATAGCAATGTAGATTCAAAATTGGCTGAGATAGGAAATAAAAAGTAATGGGCATTGGGTATTTTTAGGCTATGGCAAGGTTATTAGTAGAGTTCAGTATTAGGACCCTTGCTTTTCCTGGCATATATTAGTAATCTAGATCTTGGTTTGCAGGAGTCAGTCAATTTCAGACATTGGAGATGACACAAAATTTAGGAACATTACAAACAGCGTAGAACATCAAAGGCACATCCATAAGGAAGTAGAGAAGGCAGACAGGTGGCCGATTAATTTCAATGTGGGGAACTCTGAGGTAATACACTTTATTTTCTCTATGTTCTTTGTAAAGGTACTACTTTCAAGGTTGTGCAGAAGCAGAGAGACTGAAATGTACATCATTAAAGTTGGCAGAACAGGTAAAGAGACCTAGCAAAGCATATCGTATTTTAGGCTTCATCAATAGAGGTATAGAATACTACAGCAGAGAAGTTACAACGAACTTTTATCAAGTTAGACGTCAGCTGAAATGGTTTATGAGAATGCTTCCAGGGATGAGGCACTTCCATTTTGAGGAAAGACTGGAGAAGTTGGGGTGATTTTTTGGAGAGAAGGTGGCCAAGATGAGATTTCATGGAGGGGTTTGGACAGAATCAAAAGAGAGAAATTATTCCTATTCATAAATGAATTGTGAACCAGATAGCTTTAAAGTGTTTTGCAAAAGAAGTAAATGGTGAGAAAAGATTATTTACACACAACGAGTGGATTAGAGTACAGAATTCATTGCCTGGAAGTGTAGTGGATGCAGGTTCAACTGAGGAATTTGAGAGGGCACTGGATGATTATTTAAATAGAAACAATATGCAGGTTATTGGGAAAAAGTACGAGACTGGCACCAAGTTAAAATGTTCAGAGAACTAGTGCAGACACGATGTGCCAAATGGCCTCTTTCTGCACGGTGATAATTCTGTGATTCTCAAAATCCATGTCCCAGCACTGTGTAACCCATTGCATGACTCAATGGTATATGCATCCCACAAGAATGTCGAACCCCACCTCCCAAAAAAATCAAATCTCAACTTGTATTATTAGCAGCCCTTTGAAGCCATAAAGAAAGTTTGGCTGCTGTTGACAAGTGGATTCACAGACTGAACTCAGTTTAGCACGGCCAAAGGATGATATGGAGCTTGTTGGATCTGGCTGATCGAAGCAGATGAAGCTCCTAAGATGATCCTTGTACTCTTGAAACAACTATGCTAAGCTTGTGAAAAATAACCACAATCCACGATGAAGCGAATGGTTCTGATTTGAACACCAAAAATAAAATCAAAACCAACTTCCATCAAGAGATTAAAGAGAATTTAAACAATTCTGTTTCTACAGTTTAGTATTTTTTTGGCGCATAGTCAAAATATAATTATATCAAATTTTGGACTTTTTCTCCAACTCAGTGAATAGCCAATGTCAGTTTAAACCCCAGGTAACAAAAAGCCCAAGCCTACCATTGTAAAATTATATAAAATTATCATGACGTGAACTTTCGTTACTGGGAAACTGTCAGACAATTCTTTGCTCCAAGAAGCTTAAGTTTGAAATCCCTCCTGAGCCTTGCTAAAATCGATTCCTACAGAAACTGTTGGGAAGACTGTTAATCTGATATCAACATTTGAATGTTCTTTAACTGCTCTTATGACATTAATTTAAAAGCAGAAGATAAATATACGTTTGGGTCACAATGAATGATGGGCTGTCTTGTTGGCTGCTGACTGTAAACAAACTTTTGTCCACCCTGATTCAGCACTTGAAATTGTTAATGTCACAGCTAGAGACTTTTTTTGAGGTATATTTTCAGATCCCTCAACCAAAAGCTGATACCAATGATACTTAATACTACAAAATATCCCTGACTCCCCATTATTCTTTAATGGCCTTTCTGGTCAGGGGGTGAGAAGGCGATGAATTGTGCCCTCCCATACTTGATTTTTCCACGTTAAATGATTGAAAGTAAGGGATAAATGTCTTTTTGGAGAATCCTCCCACTTACACTGCAGGAATCTTGAGCCACAATCCTGTTTTTAGATCTTGGTGAGGCAGCTCAATCTATATTGAGAAGGTGAACCTGTGATTTTTTTTTAGGGCCTGGCCATTCTGAGGTTCCATCAATTAATATTGTAAGGATGCCAATAGAGTTATTCCATGTGCAAGATTTCTTTCACTGAGCCCTGACGATACACTACCCAAGACTGCATGAATACCTGGTAGAGGTTGGGTATCCTGCTTCCTAGATGCTAATGTCCTCAAGCTGGAAACTGAGGGGTGGGAGGGGTTCTGAAGGGGTTTGAGGAGCTAATATGCTTCTTATTATTCTGCTGGCACAACTGCCAAACTGAATGTTCATGTTATCCTGCAGAATATTAACAAGCAGACAGTAAGAAATGACTAAGGTGTATCTACTCAAAGGAAGAATTTCCAGCACTCACAGTGGATGACTCCTAAAACTGTAACTAGCTATTCACTAAATTCTTCAAATTTCTAAAACACTAAATTCAGCCAGAACCATTCTTAGGTTTTGTTTTTGAAACAAGTTAGTTTAACCTTTGCGATTAGCTACATAGCACATTTAACAATTTAGAGACAAAGTCTAGCTTTCCAACATTTAGGACTTAGGACATGATACCAAACTAAGCCCAACCATATCAGCAGAAATCAAATGTTTTGCTAATTAGCATGGATGCAAAGAATCATGACATTTCTTAAGATTACATTAATCATTTATGTACAGCATGATCTTCAAGAATTTGTCATCTATTTTAGCAAAACTATTTGCCTTCACCCAAAACTGTGCTTTATCTTTGGTTGTACAATATATTCTGTTTTAAATTATGTAAAATGCAATTTGCTTTGTAATAACTCAACAGGCTAAAAGGTTGCAACATATTACCCTTTCTGAACATGTGGAAATGGTCTGGAGTATCTGCTTGTTTGCATTGGTTTTCTCATTTCAAACCAGTTAAAATTAGTCATAATGGCATAAAATAGCTCAGAACTTTTAATACAAATCAGGTTCAATATAACAGAATTTCCTGTGATCTTTTCCGCTAATTCATAAACATCTTACTAGAAACCAGTCACACATCCTCAAAATTGCCCATGTCCCTGGGTGCATTAATCACCATTAGGAGTTTCCTCTATTTATGTTTATTTGCGGGCCTGTGAGGAGGCTCTTAAAATTAAGCTTATTCTTTGAAGCACAATTTTTACAAATAGGAAGATTGTAAAAACCTCAGAATATATTCTTCTGTTCAATTTATTAAGAAACTGGCTTCAATACCCAATTATAAAATAATTGACAGTGTCATTTTTTTTGTTATTGATCCATTTCTTCCAAATTAGCCAAACTACATCAATTTACTGCTTTCAAATATGTCATGTATTTTGTAAAACATATTTTAAAATGGCACCCTTTTGAGCTGGCTCACAACAGATTTTGTAATGGGTCATACGTAAATTAACCTGAGCAAAAACCTGACACAGAAAAGATACACATTTCAAGAGAGGTAAAACTTTTGAACATTTTATGTACATTTAGCCCAAAGCAAAAATGCTACTTCTTGCGTTATGACATTTCTCAGCAACCTGCCTTGCCTTAGCTAGGCTGCGGTTGTTCTGAATAGTTAGTCAGAGGATGCAAGCATATCTAATACTGCATTTAGTATTAAGTGATTAAATAGTAGCTAAGAAATTAAGTGAAATGGGAGAATTTACTTGATCACAGATAAGTGATTGCAACATGTGAAAAACAATAATATCATTAGATGCCATTGGAAAGACAAGGCAGCCAAAGAACAGGTAAAGCATACTTTTGCACATGACATAATGTAGAAGATATGAAATGACCAGCAATGAATGCAAGACACTTTTCAGTCAAAAAGATCAAGGGAACCATTGACTTAGCCTTCATTTCTGCAAAGTGTTTGATATTCTTAGCCTTATGGTGATATTAAACATTGCGTGTAATTCTGCAAAATTACTTAGTAGCCATGATGTAAGATGAAAGATGAAAAAACCTACCAGGTCCCAGTTTTGCCACTGCATAGAGGAGATCATAGTTGATGATTGGTGTAGCATCATCGATTTGTTGCCAACCCACAGGTGGTGACGCTGGAGGGGAGATGAGGAATTGTTTTGCTGGCTGTGGAGGGGCAAGGTGCAAATTGTCTCCATCTGGACCTTGATTTTGAACCTGGGAAATAAATTGGTTTAAACTTCAATCAGTAACTCAGATGACTGTAGCAGTTCACTTTCAATACACAAGCAGACTCTTTTCATACTCCCATTATGAACCTGACCTTCTCAGCAAGAAAAAATATAGTTACAGTTTTTCCCCAGTTCCCATGTTTTAATTTGGTCCTGCTGAAAGGTACTATGTTTAGAACTGAACAAATTCTAAACAGTTGGATCATGGCCTGGATTTTACAATGGCTGGACATCGTTGTTCCAGCGTAGATGGGAATTTTGCATGGACACCCTGCAGCATCCCATTGTCACAGACACTGAAGGAATTGGGAAAAAAAATTTCTGCTGGGCAACTTCACTATGCCCTGCCATTTGGAGATTTCAGAGGGTTCTGATGAGATTAGATAAACTAATTACTCAGGAAAAGTTAGACTGTTAAATATATTGTCTAACTCCAAGCAATTTTTAAATAGGCCCCATACATACCTCGTACACCCCAAATTACATCCCTCCCTAGACCACTTACTCGATACCTCTCCGGAATTTGATGGCTCTTCTGCCATTGGACCAGACCTAATCTGACCTGATCCTCCTGAATCTAATCTGACACACCACCCCATCGTCCAGTCCTGACACCCAACCTCCCTGCTCCCAGCTGAACCTGACTTACTCCATCCACACTGACCTACCCTTAAAACTGGATCATTTATCCTGCCACCTTACACCTTGGAACCCTATCCCTTCCCCCTTGGTATTCTACCCACATGGCACTCCACCAGCTGGCACAATGCATACTAAGCTCCTTGTCTCCCACTCATTTGGCACTATACTTACTTGACAACCTAACCCCTATTCATCTGGTATCCTATCCCTGGCACTATCCCTCTTCCCAGTTGGCATCCAACCTTCCGAGAACTGCATCCCTTACTCATCTGGCATTCTATCCCAGCATCCTCCCTCTCACTAGCTGACATTGTAACTTAGCATCTATGTTCTTGACACCCCTACCCATCTAATAACCGCACCCCTATCTAACTGCTAATCTACTCAACTGGTACCCTACCTCTATACATCTAGCATCCTACTTACCAAGTGTCCTACCGCCAGCACAGAATTTGTTCACTTGTGGAATAAAAGGAACTTAACTATGAATGTAAATAGAATATCATCTCTTAGAACCAGTATCAGATTCATGTTGTCATGATATTGCAAGGTTGCAATAAATTCTAAATTCTGATTGAGAATGCTGGGGCAAAATGGCAATATGTGCCTTCAGTATAGAAGCTGAACACAATGCTCAATATCCCTAAAGCCTTTTATGAGGATTACAGAGTCAATCTTTGTGTTCAAATTTCTAATATGAGCTCCTGGCAAGTATGGCTCTATAATTGAAACATGAGTTCATAAAATATACTTAGAAGTAATAATTATCCAACAAGCAGGATTATTCCCATTGGAGAAATTATGACATCCAACAAATTGGCCATATAGCAATTTTATCTGGTCATTTTTGAGAAGTTCCCTCTTGCATTGATTTTGTAACAGTGTTTTGCATCCATGTGGTATTCCCTTCAACACTGTACATTCACACTCCACAAAGATCATTTTCTAAGCTCAGTTCATAACAAAAATAGAGATGCCAGTACCAGTGATAGCCCAGATTCCTATTTCCTTAACTGTTGTCATAGAGCATAGAAACAGGTCCTTCAACCCACCATGTCTATGCCAACTAAAAACTACACTAATTCCATTTACCTGCACTCGGTCGATTGCCTAAATGTTGCAAGAGTATCCGCCTCCATCGCCCTCTCAGATAGCACATTCCATATTTCTACCACCCTCTGGATGAAAATATTCTCGCTCATATCTCCTCTCATTCACTTGCTCCTCACTTTAAACTTATGCTTTCTGGTCTTAGACGTGTCTGTTTTGGGAAGAGATTCTCATGATCTATCCCATCTATATCTCTTACAAATTTGTATACCTCAATCAGATGCTCCCTCAGCCTCAAGGAAAACGAATCCTGCCTGTCCAGTCTCTCTTAATAACTGAGACTATTCATCCCAGACAACATCAAAGTGAATCTCATCCGCACTCTCTCCAGTGCAATCATATCCTTCCAATTGTTTGGCAATCAGAACTATACACAATATTCCTTCTGTATCCTAACTAATGTTTTGTAACAAGGCTTTGTTACTCCTATATTCTACATCCCGGGTTAACAAAGGCAAGCATCCCATATGCCTTCTTCCCAACCTGACTAATGTGCTGACACATTCAGGGATCTGTGGTCTTGTACACCAAGGTCCCTTTGTTCCTCAGTACTCCCTAATGACCCACTATTCATTATGTGTGTATGTCCTTTCTTTATTAAAACTCCCAAAATGCATTATCTTGCACTTATCAGGATTAAATTCTATTGCCATTTTTCTGCCCAATTTACCAACCTGAGACCATTCTCCTCACTATCAATAACTTTACCAATTTTTGTGTCATCCGCAAACTTACTAATTGTACCTTCTACAATTACATCCAAGATGTTAATGTAAATAACAAACAGTAAGCATCCCAACACCAAACTTTGTGGTGCGCCACTGGTCACAGGCTTCCAATTACTAAAGCATCCCTCCACTATTACTTTTTGCCTCCTTATTGCAAGTCAATTTGGATCCAGTTTTCCAATCTGCCTTGGATCCCATGGGCTTTACCTTTTATACTCACTTTCCATTTGGGACTTTCTCAAAGGCTTTATTGAAGTCCATGCAAACCACATCAATTGCATACCCTCATCAATATATTTAGCCACTTTGCCAAAAAACTCAATTAAATTAGTCAGACAAGATCTCTTCTGAACAAATCCAAGCTGCTATCTCTGATCAATCCTTGCCTCTCCAGGCATCGATTAATTCTGTCCTTCAGAAATGTTTCCAATAATTTCCCTACCACAGATGTTAAGATAACTAGTCTGTAATGACCTCATCTCTCCCTGCTGCCCTTCTTGAATGAAGGAACCACATTAGCTATCCTCCAGTCTACTGTACTTCACCTGTAGCCAACAAAGTATTAAATATATCCACAAGAACCACAGCAATCTCCTGCCTTGCCTCCCATAGCAACCTGGGATACATCTCATCAGAATCTGGGGAATTGTGCACCTATATGCCTGTTAAAATGTATAATATTTCCTCCTTATTAATTTTAACATGGTCCAGAACCTCATCATCCCAAATGATATCCCTGAAAACAATGTCTTTCTCCTGTGAATACAAATGAGGTGTATTCATTTAAGACCCCACCCATGTTCAGTGGTTTCATGCACTGATTGCCCCTTCAGTCTCACCCGTTCCCTTGTAATCCTCTTATTCTTAACATACTTATGAAAATCGTTGGGGTTTTTCTTGATCCTGTGTAAGATATCCGGTGGCTCCTCTTTGCCCTCCTAAATTCCTTTTTAACCTACCTCCTACACTCTCTATACTTTTGAAGGTCCTCTCCTGATTTTAAATGACTGTACCTGATATAAGCTTCCTTCTTTTTCTTTACAAAACTCTCACTATCCCTTGACACCCAAGGTTTCCTGGACCTGCTGCCCTTGCCCTTCATTCTTACAGGAACACACTGGTCCTGAATTCTCAATGCTATTCTCAAAAGACTCTCACTTTCCAAATGTAGACTTACCTGCAAGTAGCTGTTCCCAGTCTATGTTGGCCAAATCTTGTCTAATGACACTGAAATTGGCCTTCCCTCAATTTAGACACTTAATTTCTGCGCTATCCTCAATCCTTTCCATAATGACTTTGAAACTTAGAGCTATAGGCACTGTCCCCAAAATGCTCACCCATTGAAATGTCAATCATTTGACTGGCTATGTTTCCATTTCTTTCTATGTAGGGATTATCTACTGTATTTTTCCATTTTCTGTCTACAGATACATTTAATAAAGTGAATCATGCTTTATGAAGCAGAGCAAGCTTGTGCAATTCTTTTTCCATTGAAGTACAGTGCAATTGTGATACATCTGTGTAGTTCCACTGCACTAAATTTTCCAACATACTTTCTTAACATCCACTTGGAATTCTGGGTAGCAGGATTCTGTTGTCCTTCATACTGTTTATATATTGATTATGACTTGCCAAATGCTACCTCAAGTTCACCAACTGCACCTTTTGGGGTACATAGTTGCGGTGGGGTTTACAAATATTGGCTAGAGGAATGGAGTGTGTTGTTAGGTGTTGCCCTGTTCTTGGCTGACTGTTTGTAACTCATTGTAGGCTGAACAAAAACAAAACATATTAGAATTCTGGTTTGAAAACACCTTGAAAAAAACTGCAGTGCACAATGCTCTATGATGGTTTTGTGTTAACTTGGAAAAAGGGAGCAAGTCATTAAAGGAGACGAGCCTTTATTTCCACTTATCTCTATACTCTGCACTTAATCAGTAAGCATATTCATGGTGCCCTCTTCCAAGAAATTCAAGAACTTGTCATCTCTGGTTTTGATCTATTCTTTTGTGCTAGATGGCCCATTTGGGAGCAGTAGATCAAGAATCACACAGTAGTGCCTACTTGGAAGAAATTCTCTCAGTTCTCATTCTCTCAGTTCCTCCGTCTCCGTCGTATATGTTCAAATGAGGCCTACTTCGACAAGGGAGCCTCCAAAATGTCCACCTTCTTCCTCAACCAAGGATTCCCCACCTCCGTGGTCGGCAGGGCGCTCAACCGGATCCAACCCATTTCCCATTCTTCCGCCCTCACCCTTTCTCTTCCCTCCCGCTACAGCGATAGGGTTCCCCTTGTCCTCACCTATCATCCCACCAGCATCCACATCCAGAAGATCATCAGGTGCCATTTCCGCCACCTCCAGTGAGATGCCACCACCAGACACATATTCCCGTCCCCTCCCTTGTCCACCTTCCACAGGGAGCGTTCCCTCCGGGTCCACACTTCCTTCACCCCCAACACCTCCCCACAGCCCTATAGTACCTTCCCCTGTAACCAGCGAAGGTGCAACACCTGCCCATTTACCTCCTTCCTCCCTAGTGTCCCAGGGCCAAAACATACCTTCTAGGTGAAGCAACACTTCACCTGCACTTCCCCAGAATCTAGTCTACTGCATTCGCTGCTCACAATCTGGTCTCCTCTACACTGGGGAAACGAAGAGTAGACTGGGTGACCGCTTCGCAGAACATCTACGTTCTGCTCACAAAAATGACCCTGAACTACCCGTTGCCTGCCATTTTAACATACTACCCTGTTTCCTGACCAACATTCTGTCTCTGGCTTGCTGCAGTGTTCTGGCGAAGCTCAGCTAGAAGAACAACAGTTCATTTTCCACTTGGAGACCCTGCAGCCCTCTGGACTCAATATCGAGTTCAATAATTTTAGGGCCTAAACTCTCCCATGTCCCAGCCCCCTACCCCACACACCAGGCCTTGTTACCAAACAGCCTGCCATTATACACTACCTGTTATTCGTCACTAATACTCCCCATTAATAACTATTCACCCTCCCAGCCTGATCGTTATCAACTCTTTGTCTATCCAACTGTTCTTCTCTCTCTTTAGGCTCTATCCTATCATTTACTCCCTACCTCATCCCCTTCCTTATTTTCTGCATATAAACTGACGTTTTCCCAGCCACCATCAGTTCTGAGGAAGGGTCACTGGGCCCGAAATGTTAACTCTGTTTTATTCCTTCACAGATGTTGCCAGACCTGCTGAGCTTTTCCAGCAGCTTTGTTTTTGTTCGAGAAGTGCCTACTTGTAATGTTAGGGCAGTAATGGAGTTTTGCTAAGTTGAAGTTAATAGGAATATATCTTGCATGCACAATTGGCCTCAAACTGAAAAGTGGGTCAGAGTATTCTATGAATTAGACTGGCAGGTAGAAATTCCTGTCTATGCCAGTAGTAGTGCCATCTCAGAAGAAAATTACATATGTATAGAAAACTGTTCAGTACTGAAAACTGTGGGTGTTTGTATATGGATATGTACACGTGTTTCATTTTCTTCTGCCAATTCACAACAAGGCCTCTTCCCTTTTATAAATTCTCTCCGGCCACATGCATATTCCAATGAACCATGTAAGTGTAGATGTAGATTTTGGGTTTATGATACTTTATCTCTGTAAGAGCATGAGGCACTATAAAAGAATATGGTTGACTCGCTCCCTGCACACTTTGTTTGCAGCCTGGTGATCTCTTTGCCCTTTGCACTGCCCATTTGCAAATTCCTCAGCCACCAGACCTGCACTACCTTCATGCTAACAGCAGTAATTTAAAGTGCAAAGAAAACTGTGGAGTTGATCATTCTCCGTGATTAAAGCACCAGAGGAATATTTTTCAGAAACTGCGTTCACAACAACTGATTTTCTAACATTAGTCCATATGTCACTAGACCAGCACATAACTATATGGATAAAAATAAAAAAGGTCGGTGGTGAGTAAACTAGTTTAAAATATCAAGATTCTCATCAGCAGTGACTGCTAATATTAAGGCACAAGAAGTGACAAGTTGCTATGAAAAATGCACTCGCTGAACATGGTCTGTGGCAGCTGCTTGATGTTCATAGATTGCAGAAACAAGATATCACCCAACAATGTCATATTATTAAATGGAAGAACAATGTTTTAATCTTATAACAAACAATAGACTTCCTCCTACTCAAATTGTGATAATTCTGCATGCCCTTGTTCATCCAGAATTTACTAGATACTTCATTATTAACTAAGTCCTCTTGCAGTGAAGTTGAAGACTGAATGGATCACTTTGGAACAGGCACACTTGACTTTTTATATTCTTAAAAATAAAACCACTGAGGACTGGATTTTACACAATCCTTTCAACTTCAGGGCCTGGTTTCAAATTCATTGCAGATTAATGGGAACAATATTTAGACACTGTTGGTTGTAAGAGTTCTCACTGGTGTATTTAGGTAGTCACATAACAACTCACAGCACTAATTAACTTCATGAAAAACACTCAGCAATTTTGTTTTGTTGGGAGGGAGAAGGAAGAGTTGGGTTTAAGTATAATTTGCATTAATTAAAAAGGTTTGACAAATAGTTTTCACCAAAACACTACCTGTTTAACAGCTATTTAAACCAGACTGGATTTAAGTATCAGGTTGAAAAGGCAGCATTTTAAAACCCCACAGGTAGATTCTTGTCTGTATAGCCCACATGTTAAATATCATCTGGGTGGCACAAGAAAGGAAATTTTAGTAGAATATTCACATAAACCTCTGCTGCCACTGTGTGTTGTTGCTGTGTGTAACAACTACAAGATGCACTGCAGCAACTCACCAAGGTTTCTTCAACAGCATCTTCCTAACCCGTGACCTCTATCATTTAAAAGGACAAGGGCATCAGATGAATAGGAAAAATCACTAAGATCCCCTCCAAGCCAGATACCATCTTAACTTGGAAACATCCCTTCAGTGTTGCTGGATCAAAATCATTGAACACCCCTCCTAAGAGTACTGTGGGTTTACATACCTGTCATGGACTGGAATGGTTCAAGAAGACATTTTCACATTTTCAAAGACAGTTCAGGATGGGCAATAAATGTTGACTTTACCAGCAATACACTTATTTTGTAAAGATTTTTTCAATAAAACAACACTCATTTAGATTTCCTTCCATTGAAATCATTTGAAGAAATATCCCATAGGATATGCAAGAGGTGAATGAAACACCTACCAGATTTTCCTTAGTGTGTTCCACCCAACTGGATTTGAATAGTTCATTGCAAATTGGGACTCAATTGACTGGAATTTCCTCAGAGTCCAGTTTTGGGCAAACCATATCCTGGCAGGATGGTTCACATTTGACCTGATTTTAGGCATCAAGCCTCACCTGAATAATGTTAGTGAGCTGTTGGCACCTGTCACACCTTCCTATTAGCTCACTGTCTTGCAGGGTCAGAATGTGGCTCACCAGTATTTCCAGCATTGGCCCCAGTGTTGGAAAAGAGAGGAACAGCATGGGTTGAATGTAGTTGCGAACGACTGTACTATTTAAAATATTCAGCTCCACCTTTCAGTGGGAAGTTGTTCAGAAGTCAGGCTCATGGCAGGAAAAACAGGCCTGGGCCCACACTATTCCAGGGATCATCAAATTTTCTTCAGGGGTCCTAAAATATATGTCTCAGAGCCTTCATTTATACCTGTAAGGTGCTAATTATTGTATTAGGTCATTGTCAGAGATACCTGGAGTCTCAATTTTGGGTTGGATGTCCATCAAGCATCCTAAAGATGTACGATACTGAAAATTTGGCCTCATTGCGCTCATATTACAGGCTTTAAGCAGCACAATTTTTGTCTGATTTCTACCTTAAGTGCACTAGTTAAACACATCTTACACTTTGAATAAACCCTTGTCTTCAGTTTCTTTTCCAAATGCATTATTGGTTTATGATCAAAGGCCGAAGCCCCGAATTCATTACCTGTGCAAAGTAGAGTTTTAGCTTTTTCCCGTTGAACTTTGTTTCGTGGAGCTCTATTCTGGCACGAGCTGCTACTTTAGGATTGCTGAAGTTAATTCGTACACGTCTGAAACTTTTAAACAGTTGGAATGTGGCATGGTCATCATAGGCCAAGAATAACGCCTCAAATTTCTCCTGTTTTCAACAAACACAAAGAAAACAAAAATTTAAAATGCTAACATTTCACAGCTTTTCTCCAAACAGCTCAACCTTTTAACAATGTCCTTTGAAAATATCAACATTTGCATTCAGCAAAATTGTACATGTACAACTTCATATCCACATGAAAACAAGGTTCAAATCAATGGGACCTTGTAAATCAATGCAAAATATGAAAGTAATACAGAAGTCCAATTTGCACAGTAAGAACAATTGAGTCTTTTCTTTGCAATTGAAAGAATGTTGGAGATACAAGCAGAGCCTAATAATGGCAGGACTGAGTTAGGCAGCTGTTTGAAGGATAGAATAACTGTGACAGTTATAATTGCAGTGAACCATTAAAAGCAAAGCATAAATTTTCATTTTCCCCACCTGCATGGTAATAGATTAGAAAAGGTCAACTGCCCCTCGTAAAATACAAAGGTATTTCACTCCACCACTAGATTACCTGTTAAGCAGTAAAAATGAAATTTTACTTCCTTGTGTCAGTGATGAATGTAACTCAAAATAAAAATAGAGAATTCTGGAAATATGCAGCATGCCCAGCAGCGTCCATGGAGAATGAAAGAATAAGTGGACTGAGTTTTATGGGCCAGGAGTCATATTACTTGCCTACGCTATTGAAAAGTACACCACAATCTGACCAAATTTAAAAATGGCTGCTCCACAGTGATAATATGCTGGGGGAGTGGTCTTAATGAAGTGATGAGGTCATTGTGTTACCTCATGGTTCCCAGGGACAGGAAGTCACACCCTGAAGAGCTGCCAGGCAATCTAATTCACCAGCGGTTGAGTAGTCTCAAGAGACTATAGTTCCAACAGCAGTCACCACTGCAGGAAATCATAAGATGATCCATAGTGACCAGACTTAGAGATAAGTTTGGGTTTCTTCATCAGGGGGGAAGGGTCTGGGTGTTTTGGAGGCCAGTTTGGGGAGTCACAAGATGAGAGTAAAAGCTTGAGGAAGGATTGCTCCAATGTGTACAGAAAGTCTCCATGAAGATGTACTCTACTTCCTTTCCACTTTTTCACCTCAAGTGGTGAAGTAGTGGGCCAGCCTCCTTCATTCCACCTTACCCAACCACATATTATTGAAGCAGGGATGGAAACAGGACATTAACTGATCATTAAATTGACCAGTTAAAAACTTCAATGAGCCTAAGGGTGGGCAACCTAGCTGATGCTTTAGCCTCTCACTGTATTATGGCAGACAGCTCAGGTATGTTCGTCACCCATCCTAGTTTACATCTCCTACCCACCTGTTAATATGCTAGCTTCGCGTCCATAAAATTATTTCCAAAATTTCAGGCTGTCAACCTTTTTGCAGAACCAACCTGAAATGTTAACACTTTTTCTCCACAGATTCTGCCAAGTCTGCTGGGCATTTCCAGTATTTTCTGTTTTTATCAGATTTCTAGTCGCTACAATACTTTGTTTTTGTGTTAATGTAGTGTACGTCATGAAGCTGCAGAATCCTGGATCTTGAAAAAAATAATGACTGCACAATATGCATCTCAAGCAAGACTTACATCATTTGAGGAGAACAGAAATGCGAGATAATGCATTCTTCAGAAGAAATGTCACCAGAAGTTATACTCACTCGGTAGTTTATTTTCTCTCCCATTCCTATTCTTGCTCCTATAGCTGCTGGTGAGCCTCCACAATTTGCTCAAATAAGTATTCTTCTCCAAAATAAAACAAAGCACTGTAGATGGCTGGAAATCTCAAAACAAAAACAAAAATTGCTGGAGAAACTTAGCAGGTGTGGCAGCATTAGTGAAGAGAAACAGAGTTAACATTTTGGGTCAACTGACCCTTCTTCAGAGCTAATAGTAGCTAAGAAAAGATGATTTACCACCTTTTCCTGCTGAAAACGGGTGAGCAAGGGGATGGAAATAGGTGGAGATGGAGGCCAGACAAGGAGAATAACAGTTTAGGCAGAGAAAGGGCTGGATTATAGTATGCCAATGAGAAAGAAAAGCTGATAATGGGGACCATAAGTAGGTGAAAATGGATTGGCTGTGCTGAAACCAGTCCATGTTATGACTGGGCAACTGGTTTACAGAACAACTACATTCTGTCTGCAAAAATGTCCCCAAGCTGCAAGGTGCCTGCCACTTCAACACAGCACTGTGTTTCCTCAGCAACAGTTCTGTCTCGGGTCTGCTGCAGTGCTCCACTAAGGCTCAGTGCAACTGGAAGGACAACATCCCATTTTGCACTTGGGGGACCTTGCATCCTCAGGACCAAATATCAAGATCAATAATTTTAGAACTTGAACATCTTCTTCTCTGTCCTCTACCCATTCACACAACCCATGCCCTGTCATAACATGGGCTGATGTCAGCAGAGGCAACCTATTTTCACCTACTTATGGTCCTCATTATTAACTTTTCTTTCTCCCTGGCATACTATCACCCATCTCTTTGTCCACCTAACTATTGTTTTCTCTGTCTCTCTGGGCTCCATCTCCACCTATCTGCTTACTCCTTTACCCCCAACCTTTGTCTTCAACACATTTACCATCTTTTATTAGTTACTATCAGTTCTGAAGAAGGGTCATTATACTCAAAATTTTAACTCTGTTTTCTCTCCACAGATGCTGCCAGGTCTGCTGAGTTTCCCCAGCAATTTCTGCTTCAGTTTAAACTATTCTTCTATATTGGTCCAGTGTCAATTCCAAATGAGGGAAATCAAAACTCAACTCTCTTTTAACCCCTTCTTGATTAGTTATAAACTTCTTAAAAATTTTTCTTTTCTAGCATGTAGCTATCAGGCTTCCATTAAATTTAGTTAATCAGATCAAAAATGAAGGAGAGCCAATTCTAAGGTCCTCTTGAATGAAAGATAGAGTTTTACTTGTACAATTATAAAAAAAAGTACAAACACCAAAAACATTCTTACAAAAGGAACGGGGAGGTATGTCTTTCCAGGCAGGAAGCTGAAGGCAAATCCATACAGATCCTAAGAGTCCTTTAGAGATCTAAATTCAACTGTTTAACTGCTGTCTTGCTTCTTTAGCACTTGCAAAACTTTGCAGATTTTGAGTCTCAGTGAGTGATTACATTTCCAAGCTGTAATTTCATCTGTGTTAGTTTCTACAATTGAGACAGAGGAGAGTTTCCACTACCTTTGCTGTTATTAGGCCATGTTGCTTTTTCTCTCACTTTGCTCAAAGGCTGCTGTTGTAATACCATTCCTTTACAGATTCTGGTGTCTATGTCTTTGTTTCATTTTAAACTGGTTAATTGTCAGCAAATCTTTATCTCCCAATATGTGCAATTATCATTCAAGCTTGAATAAAACAAGAAATGAGAATTTTGTGATACCTGACTGAGTTTCAGTGTCTCTTGATTAAAATGGTAATTTTGAGGCAGTTTGTTTTACACACACCATATGGGTTGCTATGGGCTTCAAAAGTGATAGCAGAGTTTTTAAATCAGCAGTATTCTTTTTAAAATTATTTTAATTCCATGAAAATGTCAAGTATTAAGGACAAATGATACAAGCTGCATACCTATAATCCACTTTCTCTACTATTGTAACATTATGCAGTAAGTGTTGGCAAATTATTGAGCAAGGGAATGATCATGTGTCAACCCAATCCTATCTACACCCAAGTACACACAAGGTTATTCCTGAGGTAGCCACCAGATAAGGAAGAACTTCAACAATTCCAACTAAATTTTTGTTTCTTTAACATGTGGCATTTACGTGAACTATAAAAACTCAATATTTTATGGGTCAGGAAAGAGATAATCAAAAGATCTTTACAGTGTTATAGTGAGGAAGTGTGATGTTGTCCAGTTGAATGTAATGTTAAACTCAGGCCTTGTCTACCGATTCAGATGGATGTTTGTGATACAGTGCTGCATTTTGAGGAAGAGCAATAGGTTCCCGAACATGTCCTTTGACATGGCGGTGAAGTGCAGCTGATTTACTCATGTTTCCCCAGAATTCCCATCTAATAGCGGTTGGACTAAAAAAAAGGATAACATTCATGTACAGCTTTGTTCCATTCTATTTTCAGGATTGCAATCAGACAACTCGCTGCAAATACACATTGTCCCAAACCAAAATTTGGTCTCAAAATTTTTAAACATATTTGCAAAGGTTAAAATCTGGATGCACGCATGCAGATCTGGCAACTGGTCAAACCATTTCGGGCAATAGATTACCTCCCTGATAGGGAATTATTAAGAAGATATTACGAGACTATCTAAATTTAGTTTTGGTACCCGTGCCTGTATGGAAAAGGATAAGTTGTCCTTTGACAGTCATTTGGGGAATAAATTCAAAATTGTTTAGCACTTCTGTTAGAATACTTGAAAGGATTCACTCACTAACATTACTGTCTAAAGTTCTTAGCATATAGCATAGCTTCAATTTTAAAACTGGAAGCATTGCTGTGTGCAGGGGGCAGTCCTATGCAGTACTTGTCTAAAGCACTGCTTTTCCTTTTAAAATATTTCCAGTTCAGATAGACAAGAGGATTCAGCAGGCCCTCTAGCCAGCAGGCAATGAAGCCAAACTTCTGCATTTCTGCACAGGGACATAATTGGTTTGGTGGTTTAATTAGAGGCACAGCCTGAAATGTATCCATCTTACACAGTTTTCAACACTGAATTGGTGGACTAATTTTCAAGACTAATTAGATCCCTGAGAACAAGGATTAAATATAGAAAATCACTTATGAACTACAGATTATTAAATAAATACTGTGCAGATCAAAGTACTTTTTGTGCTACTGGGGCCATGAATACAATATCTGTTGAAATCAATACAATGTATTCCTTTAATCCAAAATGATCTGCAACTCAATATTGTGACACTGCTTTCCAACTTTTCTATGTTATTTACATAGTTTAATTTAAATTATTGAATAATTCAAAAAATGACTTCAAGTTAGTAGAACATTTGTTCTCTGAATAATGTTCAGATAAATATTCACAATACTATTAAATTAGTGACATTGA